GATTACAGGATTCAGAATCAGATAACAGATTGAAGTAAACGGATTCATGATTGTAATTGACAGATATTAACAATATTTTAATTTTAATTTTGCGTTCTATCGATTAATTGATCAAAATAAGATTGATTATAGGATTCAGAATTAGTTAACAAATAGAAATAAAAGTTTTTCAATTTTCAGATTCGTTAAATATCAGAAAAGCTTTATATTAAAAGACATGGAACATATTTTTATTCACATTGTATCATATAACCTGGGATCATAGAACTCTCGAAATCAAAGGACATAAAATAGAGATTATCTTTCTAAATCCGTAAAATGTTCTGGTTAACAGACATCAAGGATATTTTTCATGGTTTAACAATAATAATAATAATTTATCCACTCTAAGTTTGATTATAGATAAAACTACTTAACGATAAAACTACACCATATTTTAATCAAATCACTTTGTTTCTCCTCAAGATTTCGAAGAATATATTGCAGTTTATTTTACCCACCCTATGTGCAATACCGGTGCAACGACGTCGCAAGGAGACCCAAAAAGCCTGTGAGAGGCACCTACCCATGGCCTTCTTGGTCTCTTCACCGAATGGCAAGTGGAGAATACGTGCATAGGGCAGAACGGTGCACCACCACCTAGTAGCAAGTATTTGACCCACATTTCTATCAACAATCGTTCGCACATGAAAGGTCAAACGAATCTTCAAAAGTGCGAATTCAAATGCAGACGCTATGACAAAAAGTCACTGACAATACAATTATTCAAAATATGACAACGTTTTGACTGCACATATTTGGGCGATGGAATTATTTGATCAAATTTCGAAATGGATAGTTGGGTTGATGAATTGAGTGATTTGCTTATGAGTGATCTACTTAGGTTTATGCGGTGCGTCAGATATATTTAAAAAAATATAATAGTTAGTTCTCTTAGTGCCATACACATAAGTCGTGTTAAACCTATTTTTTGCATTAATACTTGAATCTCCAGATAATATTTGATAAGGTTTTCGAACAGCTTTTCAAACACAATAATTTTTTAAAAACTAGACTAAATTATTTGAATTTGTTTGGAGTTGTTAGATGGACTAGTTTACTGTACAATCAGTAAAATATTTCTTTTTCAATTTTGCTGTTATTCAGAATGAGAAAGAAAATGAAAATGAACAATAGTTGTATTCTATAACATAGTTTCCAAAAGGAATCTTTTAGTCAATTACGGAAATATTTTATCGATTTTAAGTATTACAATCAGAACTGACATAAATATCTGCAGTTCAGTACGAATAATACCAATCGTGAAGTTCGGTTTGCGTCGAATTTTCGTTCAGAGAGAAATTGCGTTTATCGAAGGATATTGAAAACGTGTGTATGCAATATTGATTAAATTGCTTTGGTTTCATCTAATTTTCATGGTTGCCAAGTCGGTCGCCAATGCGTTGAACAGTTTCGAAAGCTCTAAAGACGAGATTATTGGGGATCGAAGCTTTCAGCCTCGAAATTCAACCTGCAGAGGCACGATTTGCGAAATCATGAGAAAAAATAGCAGGGGATAGATAGGAGACATGAAGAAGCGAGATGATAGGCTGATGTGCACGTCGGCTCGTCCAGGAACAACCCTGAGCGTACTATTTCTGCGTTCGGTCACGCGAATAGTCTGAAAATGCCAATACGAGGAAGCCCATTGTTCAGCAATGGGTGGAAGCGAAAATGAAAAACAAGGAGCGCGTGTATTTCACGCGGAACTTTCGAAGCTCGAACGTTCGTGAACGATGAACAAATAAATATGCGGTGTTTCAGGTATTAAACGTTTCACGATGACGCCTCAATCAAGCCAGCATAAAGGTATAATCGACTCGTTGACGTCGGAAAAGAAAATTCCATTTGACACGAATGGATTTCATTATTCGTGACAGTATTCTGATTTAGAATTTGGTAACAGCTGAGAGTTTTTAATTATATTCCTTTGTAGTTCGTACGAAAGACGAAGTTACACGATTATTTTCATATTTTTGGTAACATGAACCAATATCTTCAAGCAACTTTTTATAAACTTTTACTTACAAAAGGAGCCTAACAAATTCAAACTAAAATTTCAAAGTGACGCCTTCTATCTTTAAATGATAAGATATTTTTTTATTTGTTTCGACCTACACAACAAATGTTCATACTAATGAAAAAGATATTTTATATTTGAGTTCTAAATTACCCAAATCGTAGCAATCAGATTACAGTAAATTCTTCCCAATTATCCCACAACTTGTTAACAAAAATGGACAACTTGGGAAGAGGGGATACGATTATTCGAGCCTTGCTAATTAGTATAATTAGTTATAATTACTTTTTATATAGTATAGCATATTATATAGTTATATAGTATCTTTTGATCGTATTCCCTCTTCCCAAGTTGTCCATTTTTGTTTACAAGCTGAGGTACAATTGGGCAGAATTTACTGTACTCTGTTTTAAAGGTCTCATTCAAGAAAGTGCATTTCATATAATTTTCAGTACTTTCGATTAAGAAGAACGCATTATGTACCTCAATTAATTGTATATACATATGTTTGCATAAAGATCGATATCAGACAGTCTTTCGATTTCTTTATAACGAGCTTAAAAGTAACTGAAAGAATGACACTTCAGAATACACCCTTAAAACTCCCCTCTAGTGTGGCAACATTACATTCTTCTATGAGACTCTAAAGAAATCTAATTATAATGCAGTGTAACTCGATGAAACAATGACAGTGCGAAGTGTTAATATCACTTTGCAATTTTCACAGAACCATAATCCTCGGATGGAACTAAATTGAGATGAAACCCCTACGGACACCATCGATGACGTAACAGAGCCCGGACCAGGCCCGCACACATGCTATTTTATGGTCTAGTGCGAAAGAACAGAAAACGCAACGACCCTAACGAGAATCGTATACTGGTGGTGGCGTTTGCTTCTAGCCCTAAGTGAGCTCGAGTCCTTCTCATCTGAAACTGTGAAGTGGGTCGGCGCAAGATGTAAAAAGTTCTTCGCGGTCACAGAAACATATGTTGCCAGTTTGCTGCACAGGGTGTCCAACTAAGACCTGCATCATTTTTTTTTAATTATTAAAGGAGAATCCCGGCTTAGAACGCGAAAGACGATTTTCACGATTTCTTTTTAAGGAGAACTACGAGGCGGGTCTTTTTAAAACCTTTGAGGGTAATTCGTCCCATTTTCAAGAAATGTTTACTAACTTCTTCGTTGGAAAAATACGTGTATAAACATTTACGCGCGCCTCGTCATTGAACGTGCAAACTGGCGAGCATCTTGTAGTTTTTCATTGTTTCCAGAAACAACAAAACAAGTAATATTCTTAATTCTAATATCCTACAATTTTAAAGCACAAAATTGACAAGTTATCGGAACTTTGAATCAAAATCTAACGGTTTTGGCGAGAAATTTTCGCGTTATCAATGCAAAAAGAATTGTTTGATTCGTTTCTTTTTTATACATGATTCGGTTTATNTGCTAATTAGTATAATTAGTTATAATTACTTTTTATATAGTATAGCATATTATATAGTTATATAGTATCTTTTGATCGTATTCCCTCTTCCCAAGTTGTCCATTTTTGTTTACAAGCTGAGGTACAATTGGGCAGAATTTACTGTACTCTGTTTTAAAGGTCTCATTCAAGAAAGTGCATTTCATATAATTTTCAGTACTTTCGATTAAGAAGAACGCATTATGTACCTCAATTAATTGTATATACATATGTTTGCATAAAGATCGATATCAGACAGTCTTTCGATTTCTTTATAACGAGCTTAAAAGTAACTGAAAGAATGACACTTCAGAATACACCCTTAAAACTCCCCTCTAGTGTGGCAACATTACATTCTTCTATGAGACTCTAAAGAAATCTAATTATAATGCAGTGTAACTCGATGAAACAATGACAGTGCGAAGTGTTAATATCACTTTGCAATTTTCACAGAACCATAATCCTCGGATGGAACTAAATTGAGATGAAACCCCTACGGACACCATCGATGACGTAACAGAGCCCGGACCAGGCCCGCACACATGCTATTTTATGGTCTAGTGCGAAAGAACAGAAAACGCAACGACCCTAACGAGAATCGTATACTGGTGGTGGCGTTTGCTTCTAGCCCTAAGTGAGCTCGAGTCCTTCTCATCTGAAACTGTGAAGTGGGTCGGCGCAAGATGTAAAAAGTTCTTCGCGGTCACAGAAACATATGTTGCCAGTTTGCTGCACAGGGTGTCCAACTAAGACCTGCATCATTTTTTTTTAATTATTAAAGGAGAATCCCGGCTTAGAACGCGAAAGACGATTTTCACGATTTCTTTTTAAGGAGAACTACGAGGCGGGTCTTTTTAAAACCTTTGAGGGTAATTCGTCCCATTTTCAAGAAATGTTTACTAACTTCTTCGTTGGAAAAATACGTGTATAAACATTTACGCGCGCCTCGTCATTGAACGTGCAAACTGGCGAGCATCTTGTAGTTTTTCATTGTTTCCAGAAACAACAAAACAAGTAATATTCTTAATTCTAATATCCTACAATTTTAAAGCACAAAATTGACAAGTTATCGGAACTTTGAATCAAAATCTAACGGTTTTGGCGAGAAATTTTCGCGTTATCAATGCAAAAAGAATTGTTTGATTCGTTTCTTTTTTATACATGATTCGGTTTATCGACGACAGTTGTCGCGATAACATGAAAGGGTTTCTCTAAATTCTTTCTCACTCGTTAGCGCAACTCAGAGATCTTTCTATAGTTAGTTGCTGGCTCGGATAGGGTCGAGCGAGAGCAGTTTTCTGACCACGGTAAATTATTTCAGGGCATCCCTTTGTTAACTTATCCTATACGCTCTAGTTACGTTCAGAGTGCATCAATACAGGAATCCAATGATTCAGTAACAAGTGGATAGATAAAGATAGAAAATAAAGGGAGAGCGACCTCAACGCATATAGAAGAAGGGAAGCGTGGTCTGAACCGGCTCTGGATAATGGAATCTCTGGAAAACTGAATTGCGTACCAACCACGAATTCGACGATTTGCGTACTCAACCTGTTTGCTTGGTGTCTGACGTATAATTTATTTCGTTGCATTTTAATTAATGCAGCGTATTAAGTAATTTTCTTCGAAAATAACGTAAAAAGCGAGGATTTCGTGTAAAAAATGTACTTGCATATTGCTGATTTGTATAATGACTACATTATGCGTCACGTCGTAAGGAAACTAGTAAAAAAATCTGGAATTTTATCCAGTCATATCGCGACATAATCTTAGCAGCATGTTAGTGCTCAATTCATAAGCTAATAGGTCTGTCGATTTTAATACATGAATCTAGTTTCACAAATCCCAACTACGTAGGCAAAGACATTGATGTAAAGAAGTATTCATCTATGCTACTTTATACGATAAACAATCATTAGCACCGAGCAATAAATTAATAACATTTTGCAAGTGGCAAATTGCAATTTGCAATTAATAACATTTTATGACTCATAAAGGTTTTCGACAGCTTTGTGTGATTTAAGTACAAATTTGTAAATTTTGTTCAATTCTCGTGTACAGTTCTCGAGAAAAATAATCTTGGAAAACAAATACATAAAAACAAACAATTTCTAAATTTCATATTAGTCTGTGGACTTTTCTGAATAAGATGATGAAGTTAAATTTAACATTGCCATGTATATGTGGATTGCGGTGCACAGATTACACACATATATGTTTCCGTACAAATATTTAAACAATTAATAAGAGGAATTGTGAAAGAATTAAAAATATACTACTCAAAAACACAGAATCAACGATAGAATTTATTTTCTATACCTTTTTGAAGGAACCTAACCCTGATCTAACCCTAACTTAGAGGGCTGTTATTATCAGTGCAGTGTGTACGGTGGTCAAGAACACATCTGATACTGTCTAAACTGTTTCTAAGAACTGTCTCTTATCTAAATTCCGTTCTAATGTGTGACTTGAATATATTCCCTTGTCATTCCCTTGACTTTTTATCGATTTTAAGGTAGCTATCATTGTTCCAGATCACTGAAAAAACGCGACTGTGACGCTCT